AGCGGGTGAGTGAGTGGGTGTGAATGCGTGTGTGCGTGTGTGTGTGTGTGTGCGTGTGTGTGTGTGTGCGTGTGTGCGGGAGTGAGTGATTGAGTGAGTGGGTGAGTGTGTTTGTGTGTGCGTATGTGCGAGAGCGAATGAGTGAGTGAATGTGTGTGTGTGCGTGTGCGTGTGCGTGTGCGTGCGCGTGTGCGTGTGCGTGTGCGGGCGGGCGGGCGTGCGGGCGTGCGGGCGTGCGGGCGTGCGGGCGTGCGCGTGCGCGTGCGCGTGCGCGTGCGCGTGCGCGTGTGTGTATGTGTGATGTGTTTGTGTGTGTGTGTGTGCGTGCGTGCGTGCGTGCGTGCGTGCGTGCCAGCGTGCGTGCCCGCGTGCGTGCCTGCCTGCCTGCGTGCTGCGTGCGTGCGTGCGTGCGTGCGTTCGTGCGTGGTTGTGTGTGAGAGTGAGTGAGTGACTGAGTGAGTGTGTGTGTGTGCGTGTGTGTGAGAGAGTGAGTGAATTAGTGTGTGTGTGTGTGTGAGAGAGTGAGTGTGTGTGTGTGTGCGTGTGCGTGTGCGTGCGTACGTGAGTGAGTAAGTGAGTGAGTGTGTGTGTGTGTGCGTGTGTGTGTGTGCGTGTGAGAGAGAGTGAGTGAGTGAGCGTGTGTGTTTTTGTGTGTGTTCGGTATCGTTTAATCGATCCCCATCCCCATTCCCCGTCCCCTTCGAGACCCCCAGTTGGGTATACACCCTTCGAAACCCGAAGGGAACGGCCTGTATCCCTATCTAGGGGGGTAAATCGGCCAGTGGGGCCCAGGCCACGCCGCTGGGGATGGGGGCCAGATAAACGATACTCAGTGAGTGCTGCGCGCAGGCGTGATCTTTTGCCGGAGTGACCTTTCGTGCGGGCGCACAGGGTTTTTCTCAGCCCCTCAGGACTGGCTTGCGCGCTAGGATGTGGCCCTCCCGTGGCCTCCCTAAGCTACGCGCCAACGCCTGCCCAGGGTCATTCTTGGGTGTAGCCGAGGGGTTAGGTGCAACGACGCGAGAAAAGTGCACCGTCCCGGGAATTCAAAACTGGGTGCCCTCGACCCCGTCAGTTGTTCAGCTGGACCGGCCCGCGAGGGCCCCGGGTCCCGAAGCCAGCCGAAAACTTTCAAGTGACAAAAATCGCTGACACCCAGATCTCAGGGGAGGGCGCTCGCAGGCCAGGATCTCTGGATCGCGCAGGCGGCTCAAGGATCGAGGGTTTTTGGGCGTTCCGCGCCCTCTTCCGGCCTCCTCGAGGTGAGCTCCTCTTTACCACGGCTGGACTCCCCGCGAAATTCTAGCCCCTGCGAATGTGAAAGAGCGCGCTGAAGGAGACGTGAAGACCAAAAGGGGGGCCCAAGCTTCAAGCTACTTTCTGCTTCTGTCCCTCCTTCAGGGGAGGGGCTGTCGGACCGGGATTTGAATGGAACTCCAAATGATTCTCTCTCGCAGCGGGGTGTTGTTGAGTACTGGGTGTTGCGTGCGAGGCGGAGGCTGTGGAGTAGTGGGTGCTGTGGCGGACACTGAGGCTGGTGAGTACTGGGTGTTGTGTTGGAGGCAGAGGCTGGTGAGTACAGGGCGTGGCGTTGGAGGCGACAAGGGGGAGCAGTGCTACGCGGACGCCCGCAAGCATGACAAAAGAGAGAAGCACAGGGAGACCCCTTCATCCTTGTGAGCCAGCTTGGCAGCAGCCGAAGATGCCAGAGGCCGTCACGGCAAGCAGGGGGAGGATTGAGGGGAAGAAAGCGGGGACCATGACCATGATTGAACGCAAAAGCGTCGTGTCGACACTGGCCACCCTCGATCTTGATCAGCATCACTTCGTGGATCAGCGTCGCGAGTGGACGACGGCCGACATGGGCCATGGCCAAGATCGGCATCGACAAGATTCCGCGACATTCCAGTCATGTTTCCCGTGTTTCACCGAGCGCGTTCTTCTACTCGCAAAGTGCACACTCGCACACGTCCGAAAAACACACATGCCTGTTTCGACGCAACCTGTCGCAGATCCCCCGCGGGGGACCCAGGCCACTTGCGAGTGGTTACTTTGCGAGCAGTGGGACGCGCTCGTCTACAGTCGGGGCCCTGAAGAAGGAACCCTTGTCGTTGGGGAGGGGCTCCGCGCTCCTTAAGTGTTTCGCAGCTTGCCTTGGATTTCCCTTAGGTTTTCGATACGAAATCGAAGCTCAACTTATGGAAAACAGGGGCCCCGCTCCTTATAAAGGGTTCCTTAGGCCCACGCCTCGACTGCATCGTGCTTCTTCGCTCGGGCGGCGGGCCCCACGTGGGGGGGAGCCGCGGGAGCCTCGCCGCTGTTTCTGCCTTGGGCGCAGCCACCTTACTTCAAGGTCTTTTTGCGGCTGCGCCCAAGGCGCCCGACTTGCTTGCCCGCCTCGGCGGGTGTGCCTGACGCCTCGAGCGATCGCTCCCGCGGCTTGCCTCAGAAAAGGAGCCTCGCCGCCGCGGCCCGTGGCCGGATGGGGGGGAGGTACGCCGCCCCCGAGCTCAACCCGCCCCTGGCGCCCCAGGCCCCCGCCGCCGAGGCCGGCCTCTGTCTGCCCGGCTGCTCCCCTTGCCCCGCGGGCCAGGGAGGAGAGGGAAGGGGCTTCCCTTGGACCTCCATCCCTCCTCCTCCTCCTCCTCCTCCTCCTCCTCCTCCTCCTCCTCCTCAGAGGCGACGTTGTTCCGTTTCGGTTTGTACCGACACGCTTCAGGAAAAGGTTCTAGGACAGGAGAGAAAGCGACGGGCGCAGTGGAGGAGAAGGCTGTAGGGAAGGGACCCGACAGAAGCGACGCCGCTGCAGGGAAGCGGGAAAAAGGAACGACGAGGAAGATGGGGCAAACAACAAAGCAGCCTCTTCCACACGCCGACACCCCCGGCGGCTTCTCGGGCCGGGCGAGGGTCGAAGGCGAGCAAGCGGCCAAACACTTTTTGATCCGCGGGTCGAGAGCGCACCTCTTCCGGTCGAAGCTAAGCGGGCCGCGCGAAGCCTGGACTAGGCAGAGAAGAGGAGGGAGGAAGCGGCGGAGCCTCAGCGCGAGGCCGAGAGGAGGCATAGCCTCGGATACAGGCGGTGCCGAAGACGAGCAAGCGGCGAAGCACACAAACTTCCGATGCTCCGCACGGATTTCTCGGATCGGCGCGGGGGCCCCCCCGCCCCCCCCCACGGGCGGCGCCTCTGGCGCGCCAGGGCGGGGGCCCCAGCGCAGATCCATGAGAGCCGCGCGGAGCGTCGAAAGTTTACGCATTGTTCATTTCTGATTCTTCGAACATTCTTTGATTTTTTGGGGGGCCAAGACCAAGATCCTTTCATTTCTAATTGTTCTATCCTGGGCCTCTTCTTGGCCACTAGGGAGCCAGGAACAACTAGAAACGAGCACAATCCGAAATGAGCACGATTAGAGATGAACGACGTGTATGTCTATGCCGTTTGTCTTCCACTCCAGGGGGGTGTCACGAGATCTGCTGCACGGGGGCGCTGGTTCCTTCGCGTCCGCCGCGTCCGGCACGCTCCGCGATGCACTGGCGCCGCTGGCGCAGGGGGGGGCGCTGGAGAAAGCAGCCCCCAGTGGTAAGTCGGGCCCGTCCCTCCACAGGAGGAATATCCAAAAACAGTCCAACCAAAAATAGTCCGGGGACGACTTTTCAGCTGTTTCTGGCAACTGTTGAATCTCTTTGGGGTATGTTTCGGACATGCCCTGTCCTGTGCAAGCTCTTCGGCACCGCCTGTATTCTGAGCCCTCCGGCCGCCTGAGGCCCCGCCCGCCCGCGCCCTGTCTCCCCAATTAGGGCTACTCGCGTCCCGCTTAGCTCTTGACCGGAAGGGGCCCGCTCCCGACCCGCAGACCAAAAAAGTTTCGGACATGCCCGACCCAATGCAAGTGCGTGGGCCGATCCGCGGGCCCCCGCGTTCCTGCCCCGCCCCTTCTCGCCAGGCCCGACGCTCGGCCTCCTCGGGCTGCTAGGCTCGAGGCTTCTGGACGTTTGTCGCAGTTTCTCGGGGGCTCCTCTTCTAGGCCTCCCAGATGGGGTCGAAGTGGATGGGGACTATTTTTTGGGGACTGTGTTTTGATTATTTTTTGGCATTTTTCGAGTATTTGTTGAATCTGTTCTGTTTGTCGTTCAAAGTCCCTCTGTAGGGGGACAGGCCCGACCTGAATCTAGGCCTCCCAGATGGGGTCGGAGTAGATGGGGTCGGAGGATCGCGCCGCATCGCCGACGCATCGCCGATGCGGCTCGATGCGGAGCCCGCTTTCCTTCACGCGGACGCCGCCGATGCATTGCCGACGTCGCCGATGTATCGCCGATGTGTCGCCGATGTGTCGCCGATGCGGTGCGACCCTCGGACCCCATCTTATCCGACCCCATCTAAGTACAGTGCCGTTTTTAAGGCATGCTCCGCGTGCGGATCATGTATTACAAATGCAGGGATTTAGTATTAAAAACAACGATGAGTTCATGCACACATTTATTCATAAACAAATCATATGTTAGAGTCCTATATGTTAAGGAATCCTATGTATTAAAAACTGCTCTGTAGGAGGCCTCTGTCCTCCAGTCCCGGGAGGCGCTCTCCTGCAGCTGCGCCGCGCCCAGTGTTCGGGGTTTGTGCCAGTCGTCCTGCACGGCCGCCGGAGATGCGAGTCGGGAAGCGGTGCCCCTGGGGCACTCCACGGGTAGTGCTGAGTCGGGCGCGTCCCTCTACAGGGGGAATATCCAGAAATAGTCAACAAAAGCCAGTCTGGGGATGATTGATCGACTATGTTTGGCAATTGTGGAGCATGTTTGACTCTTTTTCATGTTTCTTACAACGTCCGCCTGTAGGGGGACATGCCCGACCTAGGGGTAGTTACGCAGGACCGTCAAACAAGCGATTCGGGAAGAGGCGCTGCGGCAGAGACGTGGCCCCGGGAGAGCGGCCCAGGTCTCGGTCATGCCAACTCCTATCCAGGCCTCCCACGCAGGGTTCGAGGAAGTGAAAGCGCCTCGTCGCCGATGCATCGGCGACGCAGCTCGATGCGCAGCCCGATTTCCTTCACGTCAACGGTGCCGGCATCGCCGACGTTGCCGACGCATCGGCGATGCACTGGCGGCGCCCCGCAGCTCTCCGACACCGTCTACTCGGACCCCATTTGGAGGCCGCCACAACCCCGATCGGCCCCCAGCCTTCCGCACTTGCCATTCCCGGGCTCGCCCTCCCGCACAACAGAAAGGCGATCTGATTCTATATTCAGGGACGGGGAACAGGGCAAGGTGGACAGCCATCCACATCTCGTGTACCCCGTGCACGCAGAGGTCGGATAATCCACCGATTTCTTTTCCGAGAATTCCTTGTAGCGAATATCTTCATTCATGCACGCTCCGTACCCAGTCCCAGCTATTCGTTTGTCTGTCTGTCTGCCTGTCGGTCGCTCTCTTTGTTTTTTTTGTTGTTGTTGTTGTTGTTGTTGTTGTTGTGGTTGTTGTTGTGGTTGTTGTTGTTGTTGTTGCTGTTGTTGTTGTTGTTGTTGGTGTTGTGGTTGTTGTTGTTGTTTCTCTCTCTCTCTCTCTCTCTCTCTTTCTCTGTCTCTCTATGTATATATACCTATACAAATATGTATATGTATCCCTCTCCCTAAATCTCTCTCTCGCGCGCTCTTTGTTCTTTTTCTCCCTCTCTCTCTCTCTCTCTCTTCGTATATCTCTCTCTCTCTTTGTATCTCTCACTTTCTTTCTCTCTTTCTCTCTGTCTCTCTCTCTCTCTCTCTTCCATCGGCTCATCCTGCAAGGAGCGGTTGCCAAGTTCGGACAGCACCATGGGACAGTCTGGGGCGGGCGTTTTAGGGCTCCTTTGGGGGCATGTTGGGCCATCTTGGCCCGTATCATCGGATGCAAAGATAATCACAAGGATGAGAGCCGTTGAGCGTATTATAGCATATCTGAGTGGTTCAATGACTTCGGTAGCTAGGAGGCATATTTCGGAGGCTCAGGGGCCACCTCAGAGCCATACTGTGACACTCATGGGTTATGGATTCGGACCATGGTGAAGGCAATGTTGGGCCACATCTGGTGTTGTCTCGAGCCATCTTGGGGACCTGGTAAAGCAGGATCTCGGCAGCGCGGGGCGAACAGGCCAACGAGTGCTCAGACGGACACTCCAACAAGTCGCGACCAAGGAGGTCCAGACCCGCGTGGATAGGGTAGGCAAAGTGGTTATGAGCAGACACGCTAGAGCACCTACTCCCAGAGAGCTATTGGTATTTAGTTCATGACGCCGTCGATAACTCGGCCGCCGAGTTTCCTTATCAGCTCGTTCATCCCTTCTATTTTGTAGCCGCTCTGGCTCAATAGATACTAGGAGCATGGGGGGAGTAGCGTTCAGTCGTTTTGCTTAGTCGCGCGCCGTGGCTGAAGTCCCGCCCACTCTGCAGGAGTATGGACCCCGAGCCAGATTTGCCGGGAGCATGTTCGGCACAGTCTCTCACCCAGAGTCCGACGTCGCGGGGCCACCGCCGCCGTGGCAAGGGAGTGCACGTGAGGATCTGGGAGTACGGCGGCACGAGCTGGAAAGAGTCGCGCATCTACAGCCACTGGCTCGAGGCCGAGTTCGCGGAAGGCGGCGACCGCACGGACGTGCACTTGCCGTCGGTCTCGGTGCAGGGCATCATGCAGCTCCAGGGCTGCCTGGACCGCCCGGGCGCCCTGCTTCTCGACCCGCCTCCAGACGGCAGGACCGAGAACGAGTTCCTTTGGAGCAGCCTGTGCTCCCCGCTAGACGGGGGCGCCGCCGTGGAGGCCCGGCGCGTGCTGGGCAAGCGCCGCAGCCCCTCCAGAGCCGAGCCGGTCGTCGAAGGACAACAACTTGTACAAGCATTACACCAGAGAAAAACCACAATCAGTGGATGGTGTTCGCTGGGGAGATCGACCGGGAACCCGGGAGCCCGGGAACCCAGAACCCATCGAAATCGGCCCGGAACTAATAACCAGGAACCTTGGAAAGCGGGAACCGGGAACCCGGGAACCCAGCTTGGTACCAAAATCGGAGGGAAATGTTGCCCAAATCTTTCAACTTCCGCTAGGACCCCTTCAGTGCAAGCACTGTTTGGGAATAGAGACGCACATAAAGAAGCAACGAGAAGCATCGAGAAACAGTGAGCAACAACGATTAGCATAGCTTACGAGCAAGGTTAGAACACGAACCTGTGCGGGTTGTCTTGTTTTGTAATTTCCGATTCCATGCAACCGGGATGTATCGACAAACATAGGACAAGTTCGAAGTTCGAAGTTCCGCGCGGATTTCTTGGGTCGCCGCTGGGCCGCCCCTGGACGGCGACGCCTCTGCGCGCTCTGCGCGCCAGGCAGGGGGGCCAGCGCCGGTCGGAGGACGCCGCGCGGAGCTCCGAAAGCTTACACACACTTAAGTCGGGCCTGTCCTCCTACAGAGGGATTTTGGACAAACATTGTTCTCTTCTTTATATAAAAATTGGCAACAAAAATCGTCCCCAGACTATTTTTGGACTATTTTGGAATATTCCCCCTGTAGAGGGACAGGCCTGGCTTAAACATACACATTTGTCATGTCTAATTCTTCGAAAGTTCTTTGATTTTTGGGGGGCCAAGATGCTTTCATTTCTGGTTGTTCCGTCCTGGGCCTCTTCCTGGCCACTAGGGGGCCAGGAAGAATCAGAAACGGGCACAGTTAGAAACGAGGGCGATTAGGAATGAACGACGTGTACGCCTGTGATGTTTTTTTTTTCGTCCTCCAGGTCGACGACCTGCGGCCGAGGTCACCGGCACTGGACATGATGCAGCCCGAGGCGGGCGCCGAGTGCATGGACATCTCGATCTGTGCCCTCGAGGGTCTCCAGGATCGGGCGGTTGGATCTGCGCGTGCACGCGCGCCGGCCCTGGCCAGGGCCGGTGTATATATTCGACTACACTTAAGAGTGACCTTTCGCCGGAGTGACCTTTGGTGTGCGCTCACTGGGGTCCCCCGATCGCCGCGCTCGTTGCGATAGTAGCGCTCTGCGCACCTGTGTTTGGCCTCCTCGCGCCCCAAAAAGCTGCGCACCAAAGGTCGCTCTTGCCCAGGGTCACTTTTACGTGCAGCCGATATATGTGGTACGATCAAGTCGCCACAGATAGAGTGCACATGGAGATTTCGATGTGCGCTCTATTCGGGGGTCGTACAGGGCGTACTTCGAACAATGGGTGCACGCTGTACGCGGTGGTGCCGCGTTTAGCGTGCACGTGGGAAGTGAGAGACAAACGCGTTTAGCGTGCACGTCGGATACCTGTAAAAATATCCACGTTTAGAGCGCACCTGTGTTTTCAGAATGTCGATCTGGCTCAGCAGTCCCTGTCGGGTATAGCCAGGACCCCAGGTAAGGGGACCCGGTTAGTGGTAGGGCCCCGGAGCCTTTAATTGGCCAGAATCACTAAACGAGGTTTGCCGTAGCTGGTGTTTTTCGGGTGACGGCAGCTCCAGTCAGTGGAACGGGGCGGGGGGGCGTCCCCCAGTACACATCACTAAACCAGGTCCCACTGAACCCAGTTCTGCCAACGCCCGACCCTGGAACCACAGGAGGCAGATGGTCCGATTCTGCTGCTGCTGCGGTGCGAGAGGCCGCTGAACTCGCTGCGGTACGCCGCCCTGGTCGCTTGCTCCAGTTTGGGAGCAGCCCGGGCGCTCCATGCAGCGCGTGAGGTCGCCAAGGCGCTTGCCACGGCGTTCGTGGACGAGCGCTTCGTGCATGAGGTGTCTAGAGCGCCTCCAGATCAGCCTTCGCAGGTGGTGGAGGCGTTTGCCCAGTTCTTCTCCACGCTGACCATCGTGCCGACGGTCCACATCGGGGGGGTCAAGCAAGGGTCGTTTCAGCCGGACTCCAGCCAGCAGTCGGCGTCCTGCAGCGACGTCCTGCTCTCCGACAGCCTGCAGTACCAGATGGAAAGCCGCCTCTGCAAGTCGCTCGGCGTGCCGCATCATCCTCGGGCGCGATCTGAAAAGGTCAGGACCGAGGAGTCTTCCACTGGGCCCTACTGGAAGCGCTGTTTTGTGGAGGTGGACTGCCTGGACTCTGCGACCCAAGAGTGGAAGATGACCCACCAGCTTCGCCAAGGGATGGAGATCGATGCTGGCTCGGGCAAGAAGGCCCACTTGCCACACGTGTCGGCCTCGGGGCTGGTAAAGATCCGAGGGTTCAGCGCCCCGTGCAACGTGGCGCTCGACGTCATGGCCAGCAGTGGCATCGCCGCGGTGGACGCAGTCGTTCAGCAGCTCGGTCGGACGGGGCTCCCCTCTTGCGCGGTGGAGGAGGTGACGTCCGCCCTGAGGGGCCGTGCCTCGCAGGGGACGTCCCTGGAGACCACGGAGATAGAGCCGATGTCTCCGACCAGCCCCCACCCGCATTTCTTCATGGATCCTGCCAGCGCCAACCAACAGTCGGAGTTGGTGGCACCTTGCGAGGAGGACGAAGCGTTTCTCATCCTCCTCGTGCCCTGCGGGGAAGTCCCAGCCAGCATCGGCATCACGAGCGCGTTTGTGAGATTCAACTTTCCCATCGAGTTCACGCAGTGCGAGACTCCGGTCCGCTTCCTGATTGTCCTTGTGGGACCCGTGGGCTCCGCCGAGGAGATGTCGCAGGCCGGGAATTCGCTGGCCGCCCTCGCGGTCGACGAGGACCTCGTGGGTAGCCTTGACAAGGCGACCGACGTGGAGTCGTTCGTGGTTGCCATGCACCAGCGGTTGGACAACCTGCCCGTCATGCCCAGGGCGCACCTCGAGGGGCGCCGTGACCATCATCACCACAGTGAGAGCGGCACCAAGCCACCAGGATTATCACAATTGCACGGGAGCTCGAGTCCCATCAAGGCTGGCGCGAGAGCATCACCACCACCAACAGAGAGCCCAGTTCTCCTCGAGGGCGACAAGAGCAGTATACTCGTCAGAGTGAGCATTGGCCACGACTCGCAGGATTCGGTAATTCAAGATCATGTGGTCCGCGAGCACGAACTGGCAACAATGAGCCCGTGCAGGCGGACGTGGGTCTACGCAGTCCAGAAGATCCAGAAATATTCCATGCCGCTTGTCTCTGGTGTCCTGCTGGCCTTGTTTTGGGCCAACGTGCACGAGCGCAGTTATCATGATGTCATTCATGGGTATTTGTATGACGATTTTTCTATATCAGGTCACAAGATCAGTTTGCACTTCATCGTGAACGACATGTTCATGTGTTTCTTTTTCGGTTTGGCAATCAAGGAGGTAACCGAAGCTCTCTTGCCCGGCGGGTCGCTGTCGCCTCTGCGCAACGCGGCCAATCCGCTTTGCGCTACCTGCGGAGGCATCATCGGGCCCATCGTGTGCTATCTGATCTTGGCGCTTGTGATGAATGCTTTCGGTGCCTTCGACGACATGAAGTGCCAGGTCGAAGTCAGTGGCCGACGCCTAGGGGGCGGGGGCGGTAGCGTTCAGTTCACTGGCGAGACTGCTCCGTGCGAGTTGTCGGCCATCATCAACGGCTGGGGCGTGCCGACTGCCACGGACATTTCGCTCGCCTGGATGTTCGCACTCTTGATCTTCGGGCCGGGCCACCCCGCGATCAATTTTCTCTTGCTGTTGGCTATCGTGGACGACGCGATCGGCATGGTGATAATCGCGGTGTTCTACGGAGACAAGGACAAGCCTGTGCTGGAGGGCAAGGAGTGGCTCGGACTGGTTGTCGCCGCGGCCCTCCTTGCCTACCTGTTGCGGATACTTCGAATCCGGCAGTGGCCAGTCTTCGTCCTCATTTGTGGCCCAGTCTCTTGGCTCGGTCTGCTGAAGGCCCATGTGCACCCAGCGCTCGCGCTCGTCGTGGTAGTGCCCTTCATGCCAGCGACGCACGCAGTCGCGAGGAGCAGTGCCCACAGGGGATTGGGTGCTGGAGTGAACTGGTCGTCCTCGCATGTGATGAACCAGGTTCTGAAGAAGGCTAGACCGCTGACCTCTTACCTGGACAGCACCTCGCGGGGGACGCAAATGATGAGCAACATGATGCGCTTCCTGCAGAATCAGGACGATGCTCCACTGCACCTGTTTGAGCACCACCTGAAGCTCCCAGTCGACTTCGGCATGTTCTTCTTCGGCCTGGCCAACGCCGGGGTGAAGCTGGGCTCGGTGGGCAGCGTGACCACCTGCGTCCTGGTGTCTCTCATCGTGGGCAAGACGCTCGGTGTCGCAGGCTTCGCAATTCTCGCGCACTGCTGCGGGTTCGGGCTCCCAGCCGGCATCACGATGACTGACTTGTTTACGATGGGGGCCCTGGCCGGCGTCGGGCTCACGGTGGCTCTGTTTGTGTCGAACGAGGCCTTCTCAGATCCTGGGCTTCAGGGTCAGGCCAAGATGGGAGCCTTACTCTCCATCGGGTCTGCTGGATTCTCTTGGCTCACCAGTGTCGTTCACAGGAAGTTCTGCACGGGTCGCGCTGGCAGCGGTGCCGGTAAAGACACGGAGGACAGTGACGACGATGACCTCGAAGGTGAAGATGATGACGATGGATTCGAGGACTTGGTTACCCACGAGCTCATTCAGAAGATGTGGGAGTTTAGACGATATAAAGCGAGAGGGTACGAAATGAGTATTGACGACATGACGGCTTCCGTCGCGAAGAATCTGCGCAAGGTCCACAGGAGCAAGACAACCAACGATATGCTTCACCATATCTCCAACGAGTCAGGGGACATTGTGCGCTTGGTCTCGGACTCGAGCCTTGCGCAGGAATCTGCAGGCTCTCGTCCAGGGACTGCGCTAAAGTCGGGGACTCCCAGGCTCTCGTCCAAGAGGACTCTGGAGAAATTGGGGCCATCTAGGGACGAACAGAGGCGCAGCAGCAGAAAACGCGCCACCCTGGCCACCTCGTACCTCCGTGAGGCCGTTGACAGGCCGTAGTGAAGCGGTCAATGTTGCAGCAATTGCCATGGAGTGCATCATGAGCGCGCATCCGAAAGAGCAGCAAGAAGGTCTCCGCTGGTTGCTGCCTCCGCCGTGAGCATGCGCAGGCAGTCGCTGCCACATCTAATTGCCGTAGGCTGGCATGAGCCTCCACTAGTAGTGTGCGCCCTTGCACACTGGGTTGATTACCCTTTTCCCTTCGAGTTAACCTGTCTGTGATTTTCGTCCTTTCCTGTCCGTCCTCTCGTTGCGTGCTCTTTTTGCAGAAACGCACGAGGCACACATGTATTTGTCGCAGCTTGTTGATCTTGGTGGGACCGCACCCCCGGTGCGACGGCACCGAGGGATCTAGTGTGTGGCTGTAATGTGTAGGTGTTATTGTAGTGGCCTCTGGCCAGTGCCGCCGATCCGGGGCGTTCCGGATGATGATGATGATGATGATGATGATGATGATGATGATGATGATGATGATGATGATGATGATGATGATGATGATGTGATGTGATGGTGATGATGTGATGGTGATGGTGATGGTGATGGTGATGGTGATGGTGATGATGATGATGGTGATGATGATGATGATGATGATGATGATGTGACGATGTGATGGTGATGGAGATGGTGATGATCCCGCCCCCCCCCTCTCTCCTGTCCCCCCCCCTCTTTCCTGTCCCCCCCCCTCTTTCCTGTTCCCCCCCCTCTCTCCTGTCCACAATTACTCAATATGAATACTACTCCCCCTTCCCCTGATGACGGCTTGAAAGTCTTCGCCCCCCCCGCGTACTGTTTTTTTACAGGTTTCCCCTGAGTTGGGTTTTCGCGTGCATTTGTTTCAAAATGTTGCTCTCGCTGAGGCGCCGGCCTCATTTTCGGGCCCCGCTCGTTCCGAATCGTGCTCCCGCTGCAGCGCTGGCATCATTTCCGTGTTTCCGCTCGTTCCGAATCGTGCCCCCGCTGCAGCGCTGGCCTCATTTCCGCGCTTCCGCTCGTTCCGAATCGTGCTCCCGCTTCAGCGCTGGCGTCATTTCCCGTGCCATGCCACGGCATGCAATGCAATGCTAGGTTGCGTTCCGCTGCGCTTTGCGGTGCTCTTCTACGCCATGCCACGCCGTGCTCTACAATGCATTGCGTACCCTTTCGGGATCACTGCCCTGCTTCACATCCGACTGTGCGAGTAGAGAGGGGATCTACGCCATGGTAAGGGATGGGAGGGAGGGGTAGGATGTCAGATATGACGCGAGCACACCTAGCTTGCCCCTCCCCCCTCTCTCCTGTCCCCCCCCCCTCTCCCCCCCCCCCTCTCTCCTGCCCCCCCCCTCTCCTGTACAATTTCTCAATATGAATACTACTCTCCCTCTTCCCCTGATGACGGCTTGAAAGTGGCCAACCGGCCCCCGCGTATGGTTATTTTATACACGGGTTTCCCCGGAGTTGGGTTTTCGCTTGCCTTTTTGTTTCAAAATGCTGCTCTCGCTGAGGCGCCGGCTTCATTTTCGGGCCCCGCTCGTTCCGAATCGTGCTCCCGCTGCAGCGCTGGCCTCATTTCCGTGTTTCCGCTCGTTCCGAATCGTGCTCCCGCTGCAGCGTTGGCCTCATTTCCGCGCTTCCGCTCGTTTCGACTCGTGCTCCCGCTTCAGCGCTGGCGTCATTTCCCGTGCCATGCCACGGCATGCAATGCAATGTTAGGTTGATACTACGCTTTGCGGTGCTCTTCTACGCCATGCCACGCCGTGCTCTACAATGCATCGCGTACCCTTGCGGGATCATTGCCCTGCTCGACATCCGACTGAGCGAGTAGAGAGGGGATCTGCGCCATGGTAAGGGATGGGACGGAGGGGTAGGCGAGCGCACCTAGCTTACCCCCCCTCCCTCTCCTGACCCCCCCCCCTCTCTCCCTTTCCCCCTCCCCCCTCCCCCTCTCTCCTGTCCCCCCCCCCCCCCTCTCCCTGTCCCTCCCCCCCCCTACCCCCTCTCTCCTGTCCCCCCCCTCTCTCCTGTCCCCCCCCCTCTCTCCTCCGCCCCCCCCCCCTCTCCCCCTCTCTCCTGTCCCCCCCCCTCTCTCTCCTGGGGGGGCTGGCAAGGGGGGGGAGGTGCCGAGCACCGAATTCGTCAGTTCATTACGTCGCCCCCCCTTCCCCCCCTCCCAAGCAAAGCTAAAGCTCATGTTGAAGCAGAGCTTCAGCTTAAACTTCTAAAACTCACACGCCGGATTGGCGGATTTGGGCAAGCCGTATCTTTGCATAGCGTGGCTCGCAAGTGTCGCTGCTGCTCTGACAGGTCAGTACCCTCGCTTGTTTTTTGCTGCGTCGTAACATTTTGCGACCTTTGCGCCTTGCCGCAGAATGCGCAGTTTTTCCCCCAAGACCCTCGTCGACTTCACAGTCCATGTAGACCAGAGTGCGGCCCCAAGCGCAAAAAACCTGCTTTGCAGCCGCTGACCCATTGAGACAGCGATCAGCGGTCCTCATGGTGACATCGGGCGGGGCCAGGACAGGGGTAACTCGTTCCAGTCCCAGAACGGCTATCAGAGCGTTCCGGAGCACCCTGGACCCGCCGCGGCGCCCGACACATCCTCCAGAACCGCTGGATCTCAGAGACCCTCGAAGTTAGGCCTGGTCCGATCTTGTCCTAGGCCTGGCTCAGTCTCTCACCGCCAACCAAACCACCCCAACCCAACCCGAAGTCACCGATTTGCCGTCCATTTCCAGTGGGGGGGAGTCGGGGAACATCGAAAAACACACATGGAACCCGTGCCCCCCCAACCCGTTATTCGGGTCTTCGGGTTGGGTTGGGCTGGTCTGCTAGTTAGTCAGTCTCATAGCGCGATGGCGGGCAGATTGCCCAGGGGGGGGACGGGAGCTTCGGGGAGGCGCGCCTCGAGCCGCCAGTGCTCACTGCGAGCGGGCCGCCTCCCTCCAGCGGCGCGCCGGCCCTCTCTCGCCAGGCGCTGGTCGGCGCTGCCAAGCCGGCGCCTCCGGACAACACGAGGTCGACGACAGTCGGCCACCACCGCCGCGGGGGCGGTCTGGGGGGTCATGTCGTTGTGGGGAGTGGGGAGCTGCGGGAAGGTGTGGATGTTGTGGGCGTGGTAGAGGAGAGGGGAGGGGGCATGCCAGGTGCGCTCGCGCAATCTCTGGCATCTCACCCCTCCCACCCATCTCTTTCCGTTGCCGTGATTTTTGTTCTCTTCTCCGACGCGTGACATCGCGCACCTGGAACTCCAAGAAGGACCCCATCGTGCCATGAATGCGGAATTGGAAGATGGGAGCTGTATTCATTCGAGAAGGAGGTGGCGGATGAGCAGGAGGATGAGGAAGGAGGAGGAAGACGAGGGAGGACGAACAGCAGCAGCAGGAGCTGGAGTGGAAGGAGCGGGAGGAGCACGATGATGACAGGAAGACGGAGGGGGGAGAAGGAGGAGGGCGACAACGATGTGGAAAGACTCCGATGCAGAAAAGCGAACAGCGCTGGGGCGAGAGTGCCATCCTGAACGGCGGCAATAAAGAAATTGACGATCCTAAGATGAGGCCCCGGCTTCAGCGGCAGCACTATGTTGATGGACCGGAAGTTACCATATTGAAAATCGCAAACCAGATAGTATACATTTGTTCGGGATCTTATGTGCGAGAATATGCGCGGAGAGGGCTGGTCAATTTCCGCACAGAGACAGGGGAGAATAAGAGTAGTACTCAGATTGAGTACCATGAGGGGGACAGAGGGAGGGAGCAGGGGGAGGAGGCAAGTGGGCCAAGGGGCACCGCAGGGGGTGGAAATGTGGACGACGACGGAGAGAAGGGGAGCGGAGTGATGAGTGTGTGTGTGTGTGTCTGTGTGTGTCTGTGTGTGTGTCTGTGTATGTGTATGTGTTTGTGTCTGTGTGTCTGTGTCTGTTGACGCGGGGCCTGTAAAGGCTAAAAGGAGCCCACCAAGGGCCCTGGCCCCACTGAGGGGCCAAAGCCACAAGGGGCCGTCCCAAGACAGGGGGCGGGCCACAAGGGACCCCGAGAGCCCAGACGAGCCGCAGAAGGCTGCCTCCAGGGCACATCGGCCCCGAGGCACCGCTCGGCCAGTCAGCTCAGACCCCCGTCGAGGGGCATCAGCGCGAAGCGCTGGAATATATACAACCGTGCAGACAAAGTGAACTCGACTGAACACAGGAGTCTTCACTCACACAGGCAAACAGCACAAACGGACTGCAACTGCTTGCCTCAATCATCGAGGGGGCCCCTCACGCCCCTCGGCATCTGGACGACCTGCAAGCGGCCCTCGAGGATACGCTCACGCTCCTCGGCATCTGGCCAACCTGCAGTGCTGGGGCGGACGCCGAGAAAGCGGGCCTCGGCCGAGCTCAGGAGTGCCTCAACTCCCGTCTTGGGCCCAATGGCCACGCATATCACCGCCGCCACCGAGAAATCGTCCAGGAAGTAAAACACGCTCTCACAGAACGCGTGGCGGGAGGCCTTCTGCGCCTTGCTCTGCTCGCACCGAGCCTCCAGCGCGTTCATCGGCTTCGAGAGCACCTCCCGCTCGCACTTGGGCTCGGTGCCCTCCTCCAGCGCGCCCTGCTGCTCGGACAGCGCCGCCAAGTCGCCCTTCTGCGAGACCAGCTGCTCGGAGGTCGCCTCCTGCGCGCACGGCCGCTGCGAGAGCACCTCCAGCTCGCCCCTGGCCTCGGCGCCCTCCTCGAGCGCGCCCTGCCGAACGGACAGCGCCGCCAGGTCGCCCTGCAGCTCGACCGTGGGCTCGGCGCCCTCCTCCAGCGCGCCCAGCCGCCCCGAGGGCGCCTCCAGCTCGACCGTGGGCTCGGCGCCCTCCGCGAGCGCGCCCTGCCGCTCGGACAACGCCGCCACGTCTCCCTTCGGCGGGACAAGCTGCTCCGAAAGCGCCTCCAGCTCGGCCTCGGCCTCGGTAGAATCCTCCAGCGCGCAGCGCCGCTGCGAGAGCTCCTGCATCTCGCCCCTGGGCTCCGCGCACTCCTCGAACGCGCCCTGCCGCTCGGACACCGTCGCCACGTCGCCCGCCAGCGAGCCAAGCTGCTCCGAGAGCGCCTCCAGCTCGGCCTTGGGCTCGGCGGTGTCCTCCAGCGCGCACAGCCGCTGCGGGAGCGCCTCCAGCTCGACCGTGAGCTCGGCGCCCTCCACGAGCGCGCCCTGCCGCCCGGACAGCGTCGCCAGGTCGCCCTGCAGCAAGCCGAGCTGCTCCGAGAGCGCGGAGCAAAGCGGCGTGCGCCTCGCGTCGGCCGCCTCCGGCAGCTCACGACGCGGCGGGGCCGGAGGGGAGGGCCGCGCGGGCACCTCGCACTCGCAGATCTCGACCTCGCACACGACGGCGGCCGCCGCCCCCCCGGCCGAGCACGCCTCCAAGGCGCGGACCCGCCGCCGCCCAGGCCAAGCCAGCCCGCGGTGCCGCCGCAAACCCCGCTGCAGGCGCACGAGCCGCGTGCAAGGCCGTGTTCCGGCGGAATCTCACGGCCCCTGGCACGGGCCGGCCGCCAGATGCCAG